AACGGAGCTGTTCGTGACCCGAATTGGTCGTGAACAGAAGCGTTCATGACCTGAGGTACCACTGTACCTCCTTTTCTACAAAAACAGCCCTTTCCGTGCATCTGTTCTCATCTCTAGTTGCGGCTTGCCTGCGTTTCCTCAGTGTAGGATCTTTCCTCTGTAGGAACCCTATGTCCGCTTCCCACCTGTGACTCCAAGCCTTCCCACTAGCATCTAGGTTCTTGCATCTCCTCCTCCTCCTCTGCCTGCGTAGCCTGTGTTCTTGTGAGAACTCCTGTAGTTTCTCCTTGTGCTGGCACCATGGCCTCTTTTCCAGCAACCGGCCTTCCTCAGTTGAGCAAGTCAGCACCACATCATATAGGAGCTGGTTTATCACGCCCACGAGTAGGTGGTATGTTCGTCCTAGGCCTTCACCAAGGGGGCCTTCCTCGTGGCTCCAAATGCACCTGTCAGACACTCCTTGCGTACCCTTGGGGCGTTTCTCACTAGAGGGGAGCACACCAGAGTGCTTCCACTCCCTCGCTCCTTCACCGTTAACCCAAACTGTTTCTGTGCTTAATGCGGACCAACTTCCTTGGGCTGCTATCACGGTTTCCTTTTGAGTCCTGGTAGGGCAACCGTGGGCCCAACAGGTTCTCCTTTCATGCCTTTCCCTGCTGCTTTCAGTCTTCCCAGATTTCTCCTCTTTCCTGACAGGCTCTTCCCATTGCTTAGGTTTCCTCCTAGCAAACAACGCTCTTTTCCTATTGCCTTGTCCTAGCCTTCTCTTTCCGAGTCCTCTGCTGCTCTTTTACCAGCTTCCAGACGATGCTCCTCGCCCAAAACCGTACTGCAGGGACTGCCCCAGCATGGCTTTCTCCACTATTTCCCTCGAGCTTTTTATCTCTGGTTGCAGCCCTTTCTCTCCTGCCAATCTAGCCCGCAATTCCAGAACTGCTCCACGTTTAGCAGGTGACATCCTCTCCACCAACATGCCCTGCAGCTTCCCTAATAACCCCCCCCTTTCTCTGCTTTTCCTGCCTCTTTTTATATTCTGTATCCAAGACATACACGTGCCACTGTACAGGTGCCTCCAGCATTTCCCCTTTTTGCCTGCGTGCTTGCAGTCTTGTGCAAAGTCATCTGCCTTCCTTAAAAGCACCGTGACCCTGGCCCAGGCCTTCAGCCAGGCACTTCAGCCTGCTGCACAGAACACAATACGGAGCAGTTGCTGGAAGTGCTGATGCCGTCCTGAGCTCCCTTAAAGATGCAGTGTGAATCTAGTCCCTTCAGCACACCTGGAGTTCTGTGTACGATTCTGGACACTCATTCCTAGAAGGATATAGGCAGGTTAGAATAGGTTCAGAGAAGGGCCATGAAGTTGATACAGGGACTTGAGGACAGGCTGAAGGAACTGGAATTGTAGAACAAGCAGCTGCGCTTGTGAGAAGGATCCGGGTGTTCTGGTAGACCACAATTAAGGACGAGCTGGCAGCATGCTGCAGCTGCCGAAAGAGTCAACGCAGTCTTAGGTTGCATCAACAGAGGTATAATGACAAGATCGCAGGTAGTGATACAATAGTTCTGCTCTAGGCTGCAATGGTCAGACTGTATCCGGATACGGGGTCCAGTTTTGGTTGCCACAATACTACAAAAAGGGTGCTGAGGGACTGGAAAGAGTGCTAAGAAGAGTGAATGTGAGGGGACCTGGAGACTAAATCCTATGGAGAACAGTTAAAGGAACTGGGTGTTTTTATGCTAAAGAAGAGAAAGCTGAAGGGAGGCACAATAGGCCACGCTTGAAGGGCTACCGTGGGGAAGAGCGCATGGTTTTGCTCTCCCTCGTGTCCAAGGGTAGGATGGGAACCAATGGGTTGAAGCTTTACCGAGGGAGATCCAAAGTTGGAATCCGGAGGAATTTCCCAGGTGGACCCGCCTGGCGCCTGGAGTTGTTTTCAAGGAAAGATCGGATGGCCATTTGCCTGGCATGGTCCGAGGATTCCTGCCCTGGGCAGGGCTTTGGAATAGAAGACCTTCAACATCCTTTCCAGTGGACCAAAGAAGATGGAGGGGAAACATGGTAACTGTATTCAGGTACATAAAAGGGGCTCATAAGGAAGAGGGTCAAGGACCAGAAATTGTGGATATGGGTTGCAGTTTTCTAGATTGTAGGAATATTAGGAAAAACATCTGGAGGATAAGATCTGTCCAACAGTGGAACAGTCTTCCTATTGAAAGTGTGGATTTGCTATCTTTGGAAGTTTCCCTGCATTGCAGAGGACTGGACAAGATGATCCTCGTGGTCCCTCCACAATTCGGTAATTTGGTGAAATTTTGGCACAGTGTGTGCAGACAACCACAAGGTCTTTAACCAACTTGATTAAGCACGTTGTGCAAAAACTACAGCATGTCTGAGCACCCCAAGAAGTTACCATTCTCATTTAAATGGAAGTAAATACAAGGTTTATTTAAAGTAAAGCAAAAGCATAAAGTAAGTGGTTTAAAAACATCTCACAGTTTTTAAAGCATCAATAGAATAAAAGCTGCAACTCGGTAGGAAAACAGCAGGACGAAGTATGCTTGCGACAAGCCTGTTTCTGACCGTCTCCCCTTTTGGTGATGCTTCCTGAGAGATCTTGCAGACAGTGGGATGGGGGGGGGGGGGCGGCAAGAAAAAGCTTGGCCAGACCTGGGCCTGAGCAGAGTCTAAACTTCATCCCGGCATTCAGCCCTGGAGGTGAAACTGGAATACAGGTGGGAAAGCCTCCTCTCTACTTCCACGCCAGCTGTGCGGTTACCTGGCTCTTCCACCAGCTGGGCACTCCCCCCCCGCCCATGGACTTGATTCTGCTTGACCTTTCCTGTCACCGGGTTGGTCCGAAATGTAGGTGTGCCAGTAGCATCCCGAAGGAGAACCCCATGCCCGCCCCGGGCTCTCTGGCCTGGACGTGGGAATCTACGGCAGAGAGAGGGCTGCTTGTCGATGGGATCTCCTCTTCTGCAGGGTACTTCGTGCAAGACTTCTTGGACATGATGTGCAATGAGAAGCTACAGATGTGCTGGGAGCTGCTCTTCCATCACTTTGTGGTGAGTGACTGTTTCTCACACTAAGAAGATGTCTCTGTTCTGGGCGAGGGGGGAGACGGGAGGAAGGAGGCCTCTTCTGTCCTCTTCTCTGAACCATGAGCATGGGACTCAGTGCATGCCGCAGCAGCAAGGCTGAGCCTGTAGGATGAAAGGCTGGAGGTCTCCAACATCCTCTGGCCTTGACGTCCTTGGGCGGCGGAGTGGCCGGCTAGCTGCTGCTGGCACCACCTCTCTTCCAGGGGCACGTGGCATCCTCTCACTAAGCCCAATGCATGTGAGAGAGAGGCTCCTACATCCCATTCAGTGATGGATGAGATAAAAATACAGCACTGATGAAATAACGGAGAGCATCTTAAAAGAATCTGCAATAGAAAAATATAAAGTTCTGGCAGACCCTAAGATAAGGGAAAGGCAAAGAGGTTCCCAGCTGCATAAAAACAATGACCGAGCTTTTATAGAGACTCCAGATACTAACTTAACTAGCAGCACATGCTCCAAATAAAAGGTAATCTTACATGTTATTTTTAGTTAAACTTGTTATATATTCCTTAGAGACAGATTCATTCAGACTGTTTCCCACTTGCTTTTCTTGGATTTCCAAATTCTTGTAGATTGCAACTTGAAATCAGAGGCTCAGGAAACAGTGCCGCTCCTTTTACCTAGTCTTGGTACCTGAATTCTGGCTGCTTTTGAAAAGGGCACAACAGATTTTTTTTCCCAGGAGAAGGGGGGGGGGAATCTGCATGTTGTGCATGTGCCAAAACCAATGTGATTCTGCCTGAGAGGGAGAGAAATCATCTCTGTATATTTTGTCTGGTAAACAGTCGATAGTCTGGAGTACCAGAACGCAGGGTGGCTTTACAAGTCGTGTGAATGGTTGTAAAGGGAGACTCCATTCCTCATATGATGGAGAGTAGGAAAGACTCTGGCTTTGTGGTGAAAGCAAAATGGGGGAGGCTGCGGACCCCCAACCACTCTGCAGCCTGGAGTAGGCAGAGTCAACTCCCGAGGCCGTAGGTGGACTGGTGTGTGCGTTTGCACATGGGAGAATAGACTCGGAGTGCTTGGCCACAAGCGCTCTTTTCTTCTTCCCCTCAGAGGTCAACCAATGTCTGTCTGGAAGCAGGCAGAAGTAACCCAACCACCCAATCAACCAGTGATTCCGGAGGGAAGTCGTATGCTGGTTTCGCATGGCCTTCTCCCACCAGAGGCCCCCTGGGCATGTTGGACTTCAGTTCTTATTGGCTGGGCTGATTCTGGATTCAAGTCCAACTCTACTCAGAGGTTCTCATGCCTCTCGACTGGGACACTGCAACACCCTCTGCTTGGGGCTGCCGTACTGGTTGAGAATGCAGCAGTTTGAGTAATTACAGGGGCTCCCCAGTTTGCCCCCAACACCAACTGAGAATTGCATTGGCTGCCTGGGGGATTCTGACTGCAATTCATAGTGCTGGTTGTCACTTTTAAACCCCTCAGGGATCAGGACCTGGATAAGTACAGGATCGCCTGTCCCTTGAATCTGACAGGAGTCGTAGAGTGGGCTCCCTCCAGTCCCTTCCCTCAGGGAATGCCTTCTTCCGGGACCACGGAGGCAAGCATTCTCCGTTGATGCCCGATATCAAGATGGCCCGTTATGGTACAATGTGGTTCTCCCCTCAGGCTCTTGGGGGCTGAAATGCTGCGATCCTGTTCCCCCTTTTACTTGTTTGGTTATAGTGATTAATTTTCCCAGTGCTGTAATTTTTCCCAGTGATGATAATATTGATTTGTTTCTTCTACATTGCTTAGTTTGTGATTGAAACAGCCTAGAAACCCAGTAAAATAAATAAAAAGTGCCTGTCTTCTCGACCCACTATAGTGTAACTAATGCAAGGTATGAAAAGGATAATGCTACCATATATCAAAAACATCTCAGGAACAACCAACAGACTATTACAACTGCACAGCATCACGGTAATACACAAACCAGCTAAACAGCTTAAGTAAACCAAAAGACCCAGCAGCCCAAGAAGAAAAAACAGGAGTCATCTACAAAATATAGCATAGGGACTGTAACAGTGACTATGTAGGACAGACAGGCAGAAGACTAGCAGAGCACATCCATGAACACCAACTAACAGTCAGAAGACACCATGAAAACTCCTTAATCTCACAACACATGGACAGACTCAACCACAGTTTCAACCAGGAAACTCTGAGCGTCCTAGACCAAGCCAAATCCAAAAACGCCAGGGAATTCCTGGAAACTTAGCATTCAGACAAATCAGCATCAATAGACGCATAGAAATAAACCATACACGTACAACATACACCTTTCAAAAGAGACAATAAAAAAGCTGAGAAGGAAACAAAAAGATCAGAACACATCCCCTCCAGCAACCCACACCCAGATACGCGGGGATTAATACCAGACAATCAAGCGGGAAACGATACCTTAATCAAGGAACTGCCAAGGAGAAAACCACACCCCACCAACATTGGCAGGGCAGGCTACTGTATGTAAATAAGTAGCAAGCTGCACACTCACTACCACTGACGATAGGTGGGCAATGAAACATCTGCAGGCAAACCACCAAGGACTCCACAAATAAATAATAAAATATATCCAGAGGCCACCAGGTCGGGGAAGCCTCTTTCAGCATGTAGATTGATGTTTCACCCATGGTAGGTCTTTTCAGGGGACCAACAAGGCTTAGATTAGCCCCTCACCCATTCCTGCCCACATTCTTGGTGGGTGAGGTGAAGCACCCCAGAACTGCCCTGACCTCACTTTATATCAGTGGCTCTGCAAGTTGTTACACAAAGGGAAGCCGGCCAGAATCACTCTTTGCTGAATGCTGCCATGCCTTTGCTTAGGCCATGGGTGTCCAGCCTCACTTTCAGCCAAAATTGCTGCTGCAGCTGTGCCCGCCCACCGGCCACGGCCATCTGATGTCTTCCCAGGTAGGCTAAGCAAGGATGGAGGAATCATCGAGTTTGCTATAGTTTATGTTGGTTTTGGTTCCAACCCTCAGCCTCAACACAGGAGAGGGGACAATGAAGGCAGAAGGGCTTCTGAGCCTGTGCAGACTGTGCCTTTGTGGAATCTAGCCAAGGGCTGCCCGTCTCTACCAGTTTGGACTTCCCCAGGGAGGGAGCCTGTGCCCCTTTGAAAATCAGCTTCAGCAGGGAGTTGTCACCTTTCTCCTGATTTCTGTGGATTTCTCTGCTAAAATTAGATTTAGCAGAGACTGAGATTAATCTCCAGCCTAAACAGCTAAACTTGTCACAATCCATCCTAAGCACATATTGTGGGGAGAAAACAGACTCGTCCCGCAGAAGCTGTCCAGGGAGAGTCCAGTCCTCAGCGACTGATGGCCTCAATCAATGGAGGGGTTTGCCTGCCCCCTCCCATAAGCAGTTGCCGCTCTCCCCCAGGAAATGAACTGGGAGTTAAGATGTGGGGCAAGAGAGAGTGGCAGAATGCTCATGCTTTTTATCAGCCATAGAAATTTAACGGGTCATTGTTGAAAAGCGGACTGAATGTTTAAATAGACGAGCTTGAGATGCTTCCACTGCTAAAGGTTAGAGCCCGCTTTTAAAAACCCTGGGTGTGGGGGGTATTGACTCTTTGCTGCAGCCACGTGTGTCCTTGTTCTCTACCACAGAGCACACTTTCCGAGGCTGTGGCCTATGGGAATAGAACTGAGCCCTGGAGGCCAGCCTGGCCCAGGGATCAGTGTGCGGGTCAGGCCGTGGTCTGCCCAGAACGGCTGGGAGGAAATGGCAAGAGCACGCTGGATAACTGCTGGCTGCTTTTAGCAGTGATAATCAGGAACAGAGAGGTGTCCTATCTGTGGCCTGCAGTAGTTTGATGCTCAATTCATGCAGCTTCCCCCAGGAAACACAGGCAGAATGCTCCAATCAGCTGGCACAAGGGGAAGCATCTTCCGATAGCCAGAGCCAGCTCAGCCTTGCTGTCTTCCAGGTGATTGTTTGCTTTGGCTTTGCCTTCCTGATTCGCCGCTTTGTGGGCTTCGCCATGGTGGCTCTGCTGGTGGAGATCAACTCCGTCTTCCTGCACCTGCGGACAATCCTGCTGATGGCTGGCTTGGCCCACACCACCTCCTTCCGCCTCACCAGCCTCCTCAACCTTGGCACCTACCTGGTGTTCCGTATCATGATCTTGGCCTGGATGACCCGCTGGTTGGTTCTTAACCAGGAGAACGTCCCGGCAGCCCCCTACGCCATGGGCACAGTGGGCATGGCCATCATGCTGTCCATCAATATCGTCCTCTTCTACCGTTTGCTACGCAGTGACTTTCTCCCATCTCACGAAAAGTAGCAGCACCTGGCTCCCCTCCAAGCGCCGAGGAAAGGGAGAGCAAGCTAGAGCACACACGCAGGCAGGGGAAAAGAGGGGGTCCCTCCTGCTGAGTAATACAAAGAGATGGGAGCGAGGGCAAATCCTTCTGCAGAGCTCCATGAAATAGTGTCATGGTGCCCTCTGTTTGGCTGGGAGTGATGGTCACACAGGAAGGAGGCAAAGATGGGATCTGCTTTGCCCCACCATGACGGAGGGGGCTTATTGAAATGACTTGGCCCTGTGCAACCTGTGTTCTGATGTTTACTTCTGGCACACTTCCCTGTGCAAGGCGAGCCTCCTGGGACAGGCAGTCTTAGGACCCCCCCCCTTCAAACCCTGCTGTAAAGTGTGTGGCAGAGAAACTGCCTCCCCTTCCCCTCCCTGATGCCTTTAGCTGATTCTCTCTGTGGAAGAGAACTTCTTAAGGAACCTGCCTGAGATCTGCTGCCCTTCAACTCAGGATCTTG